ATATTGTAAAAAAAATTTAAAGGTACACTGTAAACCAATTTGGTTTCAAAAAATTGAGAAATGTCTTATGTTATACTTAAATAATTTTGGAAGTCAGGGATGATGTGGAGTAGAATTTGATATAAAATTTACTATTATGCCCATTTTATTTTTGTCCACATGTATATGAAATTTAATTTTAACATTCACAATAAAATACAGTCAAGAAGCATCAAGAAAAAAAAAGATAGACAAAAAATCTCAAGAAATAACAGATATATAATACTATTTTTTACAAACAAAATTTTATTTTTGTCCACATGTATATGAAATTTAATTTTAACATTCACAATAAAATACAGTCAAGAAGCATCAAGAAAAAAAAAAGATAGACAAAAAAATCTCAAGAAATAACAGATTTATTATTTTATTTTTTACAAACAAAATTTTATTTTGGCCACATGTATATGAAATTTAATTTTAACATTTACAATAAAATACAGTCAATAAGCATCAAGAAAAATAAAGATAGCCAAAAAATCTCAAGAAATAACAGATTTATTATTTTATTTTTTTTTTTTTACAAACAACACAGATGACGGTGATAATTCCAACATGTTTAGTGTTGATTGTGAATTTCTTTTCCCATGCTGTTGCCCAGGGAGACATTGATTCTATAGTAAAAAATGCTATCGACCGTGCATTCAGCGATGCGACTAGTGAAGGAGGTAGCGGAGTGCAATTCATTAACCCCCCTGAAGGGCTAATCGGGACAAATTTACGTAGAACAATTCCTTTAGAAAGAAGAGTTCCTTCAGAAAGAAGAGTTCCTACAGAAAGAACACTTTCTTCAGGACTAATTCCAGCACGTAAGTCAATAAATTATTAGCACAATAAAACATATCTTAATGAATATGTTAGCTATTTATGCATTTTTCATATTATCGTCATAATATTTTATCATCAATAGGGAAGGAAATGAAAGGATTATAAGAAATTATAAGAACAAGAAAAGATTTGTAAAATAGTTACTGTATGTAGTGATTATATTTTTACCATTTCACGGAACTTTGACAGGAACTATTAGTTAGTAATGCAAATGATATACGAAATATAAAGATAACAAACACCAATGAAGCACAAAAATCCGATGAAACTATACAAATACTGAACAGAGTAATCAATGACCTCTAAAACATCAGAGGTGGAATCAGATGCCATGGAGGAGTAAGCATCCCCTTTTGACCGGTCACACCTGGCGTGTGCTCATTGTCATGATAGAGTAAACGGAAAATATCCGTAGACAATTCTGTGCGAAAGAATAGCTAACAATTAGAATGGAAAAGGTCATTCAACATTCGACTGAATGATTATTTTTGTTTTTGTTTGTTTGTATGTTGATTAACGTCCCTCTCGAGAATTTTTCACTCATATGGAGACGCCAGCACTTGCCTATGGAGAGCTGCAAATTTTGTCCTATGCTCAGCACTTACGGTCATTGAGCAGTGAGGGATCTTTTTCGTGCCAGCACCTACTGCGACACGGGACCTCGGTTTATACGGTTTTATCCGAAGGACCGGTCTCCACGTCCCACAGTGGGATTCGAACCCGCGACGTAAGGATCAACTCCTTACTTCGCGACTCTAGAGCAGACGCTCTAGCCACTGCGCCACGCGGGCGACGTCTTAATGATTAAAAATCTAGCAAGAACTATATTTTTGGCGGAACAGCAGGGTAGGTAATTGTCACTTGATCCTACAGAATTGCAAAATCTTAAACAAAATCTTCGGTACTTCGGTACTAGCTTGAAAATACGGATATATATTTAATTGCTGTAGTAAAATTTAGAAATTTATTTCAAAATTAAGAATTATTTCCCTCATGCATAGCTCTGATCCTTCGACGTATTTGGCTCCAGTCTTTGGCACCCCTTTTTTCAGCTCTTCAAAGTTTGTTTTTTTTAGATTAAATATTTCGGATTTCCAACGTTTCGGCATGAGCGTCACTGAAGAGACACTATTTGTCAAAATGCGCATCTGGTGCATCAAAATTGGTACCGTACGTGATTTACATCTTTGGTCAAAAGTTTTCAATCTGATGACCGCGATCGATCTACAAGGGCCATTCAATAAGTAATGCAATAGATAATCCTAAAATACGAAAAAAGAGAAACATTTAAAAAAAATATTTTTAATCCTTCAACGTATTCCTTGTTTACCTCTACATAGGTCAAAAGTCTTGATTCTAATGACCAGAACACATCAACATACTCATCTTAAGGGATGCTCAAACACTGATAAAGAGCACTCCCCATGATACAGATGAAATCTGTTAAAAATTCTTTGTAAAATCCTCATTTGATTAATTTCGTGAGTGTTTAAAATAAAAGGAACTTACAATAACTGAGATCTAGTGAATACGAGGGATGGTTAAGGTTCGTAAATGTTCCTTTCTTCAGAATTTACAATATATATCTATGCTTATTTGCGGCAGCGTTGTCAGGTACAAGAAATCTACTCTGGGGACAGGTATTTGGACTTTCCTTACAAAAAGTCTACTTAACTTTCCTCAGTGCAAATTTATCATAAAGCTACAATTATTAGTCCTTTCTTTGGGTGTAAGTACAGGCCCGTAGGAAGCAATTTCATTTTTTTTTGGGGGGGGGGGGGAGGGGAAGGGGCACAGCCATACATTTTCAGTTGGGGGGCACTATCAACTACCAAACATTTCCTGACAAGCAAAAAAAAAAAAGTCATCAAACGTTTTCATTGAGGGTTCACAATAATCAACAGCTCTGTTTTCTTTAGAAATCTATATATCGGCAAAATTATTGCCCCCCCCCCCCGTGCCCTCGGTTCCTACGGCCATGAAGTACATATCTTACTGGACCTCTTGAGTAAACATGTATAAACCTCTTTGGAGCCAAGTCTTCTCTTTGCAATAATAGGACATCATTGTCTCTCATACCACATTTTATTTTTGATCTTCCTTTTGGAATATAAAAATTGCACCCATGTTTCTTTATTTGTCACACAAGTCTATTATACCTTCTTTTGTGAAAATTTTAATTTAAAAAAAACCATTGGCACATTTAACACGTGTTTTCTTTTAAGTATCTTTAAGGAAAGAAGACACCCATTTGATAGAAACAGTGTAAGTTTCATTTCCTTTGTCAGAGAACTCTGCAAACTGTGTGGTGATGAAACGTTCTGTGTCTTAGCAATGTTTCCACTTTTAATCTGGAGTTTTCGGATATTCTGTTGTTCAACACAAGACATTTTTTGGTGTCCAAACCGATTGTGATCTCTATGCATCTGAAAACTGTACAGCTTTAAGGAATAGTCTTTTCACTTATCAAGACCATATACTTCAAATGGGTTCTTCAGCAATTTCTGTAATGAAGCATAGTCTCACATACACATTTTTTCTTTTTCTTGGCAGAGACGATTTTCAAACAGTTTAACCATGCTTACTTTAAAAAGAGAATTTCTTTATGAAGACAGAAGGAAAAGCATGCAGTTTTTTGGTGTTTAAAAGTTTTTGAATGCGAATGTGAAAAAAAAAATTAAATGCGTCTTTGTATACATTGATAAACCGGATGTTGCATTACTTATTGAACAACCCTCGTATTTAGCGATAGCCTTATGACAGATAACCGCATCCAAAACAGAGCGCAAAACACTAAAATATTATCAATTTTGCAAAAGAAATAGTACTTCTGCGTTGCATAGGTTGTATTTGAAAAATCACTCATACAAGTAATATAACTTCATCAATAGATTACGTCACTGGTGTTCAATTGAAAAACGTAATACTAATTTTATTCTTTCTAAACTAGTTGCAAATTGTCTCATAAAATTCTTTTAACCCCAAATTGTGATATTTGCAAATTTAATAATTTCCAATTGGAATATATAGGACATGCTCCTCATTTTTTAAGGAAACTTCTCAAAGTAGCAGTTCATCAATCATAAGTTTTATGGTAAAAATATAAAAAAAATTACCAAGGAAAGTGTCGTAAGTCCTTAAACTGGATAAAAAATAATACTTAAACTAAAACCTTCTTTTCTGTTTTTGAAGGTCGAACCACTGAGAGCGTATCGTCCAGACAGGAATCTGGCGCTGGATCGGGAGCAGCTGCAGCACTGGCCAGATTTTCCCAGAGTAACTCTCCAAGCTTGAACGCTCTAATCAGCGAACGTTCAAGAATTTTTACAAAGGCTGCAGAGGATGTTGAAATGCAATTAACACCAAGGTTTGAGTCTTTTTCAAAGAAACATTTACTTGTATAAATATGGAATAGTCATATCAACAGTTTTTTGCTAGAATTCCTTAAAGGTACACCCTTTTTTGTAAATGACATAAGAAATACGTTCATACATTGTTTCAATTCCAATTTTATTTTCTGCTTTAGTCCCCAAACTGCTGATGCAAGAGAAACTACAAGGCGTACTACAACTGAGCAAAGTTTTCAACGACATTCTGCTAAATACTGTTTTCAAAGGCCCTACTGTAATGTTCGTTATCCTTACCGACGAACAGACGGACAATGTAACAATTTGTGGGACCCTTTACTTGGGTCCTCAGGCACTCCACAACAACGTGTCCTACCAGCAGCATACGATAACAGTGAGTATCATTGTTATCTATGTAATAAATTATTAGAAATATATATATAAAATATTTATGTAAGAAAAATCCCAGTATTTGACTGAAAAAAATGATGACAAAATATGCCATCAAGCCATGCAATCTATGCTAGGATCTCCGTAAGAAATATAAACAGGTAACTTAAAAAACCATTTTAACCGATGTTAATTGAATGATGGAAGAAGTAGCTTGCGTAAGAAACAAAGAATAAAAAAATCTTCAGGGGATATAAAAATAAAATCAGTCATTAAAGCTCTATGCAGTAGAATTATGTTTAGACTATTTTTGCAGCCAGGGATTTTCCTAGAACCCGCTCTGTAACTGGTGTAAACCTTCCTAGCGCTAGAACTGTCAGTAACAATGTTTTCCAGTACGCCTCAGGAGGCATGACTCCTGTCAGTGCCAAGTTCTCTACCTACCTCACACACCATGGACAGTTTATAGACCATGACGTCATTGCCACTCCCTCTGAAAAAGGTGCAGTTTTTATGTCGTATTTTTGAGTAATATTTCAGATAACCTGACCTGCATTATAAGTGAGATTTTCTGATCATTATTTGTCTGGTATCTGTGCGTACAATGTATGTACGTTCAATCTTTTTTTTTACTTCTTCTGTAGTATACTGGTTTTCCTTGATAAGAAGATTACCACTGTTTATTTTGAAGCCACATGATTAAAGGTCAAGGGTCAAACTACTCACGACATAAAAAAAGTTGGCTCAATATCTTGAAAACCTTTTTGCTTGTCAAACATCAAACTTATTACATTGTTTTGGTGATGACCCTATTGATATTGAGGTCACAAGATGAAAGGTCAACGGTCGAATTTGGCATAGATACATACCGACAGGTCAGTATTATGAAAACATTTTCATTTGTAGATATCAAATGTGGTAAACTGGCTTAAGAAGTAGTTGACAACTATTGTTTTATAGATTATAGAGATCAAAGGTCAAGTGACAAATCACTCCACATCCTGAGAATGCTTTGCTTGATAGACATCAGACTTGGTAATCGGATTTCTCCTAGGGAATAGATTACCCCTGTTGATTTTGCGGTCATAAGGTCAAAGATCAAACAATATGGACAGTAGATAAATGAAGATATTGTAAGCCAAGTATCTTGAAAATTATTTGCTTAACAGATATCAAATTTGGTGCACTGATACCCTTTATGAAGAAAATTACCCCTATTTGATAGGGATCACACTTAGAATTACGCTTGCCTCTGTTTTGTAAATGCCCAATTTTTTTTATTATCATTACAAATATTCTAAATATAAAGTTGTTCTTATTTTAATATTGTCAATCAGAGGAAATGTTTTTCAAAAACGTTTCTTAAGCATGCGATAGACATTTAAAAAAATCCTGTCATGGAAGCAGGGCCGCACCGAATCATATTATGCAAACATTCACAAGTTCTTTTTTTTGGGGGGGGGGGAGGGGGGTATTCAAGGTTTTATTTTTCTGCATTTATTAACGATTAATTAATTTGGTTGGCAAAAATTGTGGATAAGATTTTATACAATGCATACAGGTAAACATCTTTTTAAAAAAAATCTTCCCGAGACAATTTTAGTCAATCATAAAGCATCTGAATGTTGTGTGGGTTCATGTTTGGTTTAGTTATACGTTTGAGTCACAATATGGAATCATGTATCTTCATTGGAATAAAAAGGAAACATTATCAAAATATTTTAAAGAACAGCACGAATTTCGTAGTTCAGGTGAGGATTATTGCCCTTGGCCTCTTGTCAATTGCATTTCAATTAAATAATGTGCATTAAATTAATTCTAGACAGTTTTGTATTCTATAGGTTTCATGAAGGAAGATATTTTAGACTGTTGTTCCCCAGAAAGGTAACGTTTTTTTGTTATCTGTTAGATGTTGTAGTAGAAGAAAGATACCTTACGAATTATGTATTTCTTATAGTCAATGCATTTATGTACATCATATACGGTACCAAATTGGATGCATCGATGCGCATTGGACAAATTATGTCTCTTCAGTGATGCTCATGCTGAAACATTGGAAATCCAGAATATTAAAATAAAAAAGAATTTGAAGAGCGGAAAAAAGATGCCAAGTAGTAGTGCCAAATTCTTCGAAGGGTCAGAGCTATACATGAGGGAGGTAATCCTTAATTTCGAAATGAATTTCTAAATCTTACCACAGCAATTAAATATATATCCGTATTTTCAAGCTAGTACCGAAGTACTTAACTACTTGGCCGTAGAGACCTTTGGGGACTAACAGTCCACCAGCAGAGGCCTCGACCGAGGGTTCATAATGTAAATCATACATGGTTCCAATGTTGATGCACCAGATGCACACTCGACAAGTTATGTCTCTTCTGTGATGCTCATGCTGAAACGTTGGAAATCCAAAATATTCAAATAAAAAAGAATTTGAAGAGCTGAAAAAAGATGCCAAAGACTTGTGCCAAATGCATCGAAGGGTCAGAGCTATGAATGAGGGAGATAATCCTTAATTTTGAAATGAATTTCTAAATTTTACCATAGCAATTAAATATATATCCGTATTTTCAAGCTAGTACCGAAGTACTTAGCTACTCGGCCGTAGAGATCCTTGGGGACTAACAGTCCACCAGCAGAGGCCTCGACCCAGGGGTCTTCTACTTACCATCTACATCCATCCGTTTATTGTATCTGCTTTTTTCCATAATTTTTATTCAAATTTTTCTGAATATTCAAGGAATTAAGTCTAATAGATTACACTGCCTTATCAGCAAACATCACTACGAGAACATCCATAATTCACAATCGTCCCAAGTTATGAATCTTGATATAAGAATTATATCAGAATGGGGGAAAAAGTTAACGTCCTTGAGTTAAAACAAATCATCAATGATTTTTCAGAACAAAAAATTGAAAGTTTGAGATTTCAAAATTTTAAATATTGATTTGAATTAGAGATTTTTTTCATTCATTTAGAGACGTCACCTGCTTTAGGTAGAGTGCCTCAAAATTTGACCTATGCTTGGCACTTACGCCCTTAGCGGTGAGAGATTTTTATGGTGCTAATGCCTACCGTGATACAAGAATTCGGTTTTTAAGGTATCATTCGAAACAACCGTGACTTCTAGTGTAGGGTTCTTAGTAAAGGAACGGTCACGACCTTTGTTAAACGTCTTAGATATGTCGAACCCGTAACCTCCCGATCATGTAGCGAACTCCCGAATTCCAAATAAGTTTAATAATTTCGATAAAAATAATTTCATATCTGGAAATATTTAACAAAAAGCACGACCCTACATCATAATGCAAAGATGGAATTATTGAGGTCAAATGAACATCAGGAATCAGAATTAAGTAACTCGAGTAGATTTAAAATTACACAGAATCATCTAGATTTACAGACAAAATGGTGTACAGCAGACTAAAAGCAGGGACCTAAAATATAAAGAACAAGTCTCAATAAGGCTTATCTGTGGTCCCCAGTTACTCGTCAAATTTCAAATATTTATTAAAAGCCTTAAGAATTAAATTTTATTATTAACTAATGTCTTCATTATTTGAGACAACATCTAAAATATCAAACAATAGATATAGGCAGCATATGAAGCTGTGTGTTGAAGATTGGGTCCTTTGATTTTTCCTTTCATTTACATGCGATTAACTTCTTTATGACCTGTTTAGAATCATAACAAGCCACATGGATTTATATCGTTACGGGTAAATGCCCCCCTGTAAACGTGCTAGCTCTCAGTTGAAACGTACTCAGTTTTATATTGATCAGCATGGGCTTGTTTAGTTAATCTTGTTATAGCGTTTTATTGGCATAGTTTTGTAAATAGAAAGTTGTTTTTGTAGTTGATTGTGAATCTTGAACATAATTCGTCTTTGAAAGAAAAATATCATATCGAGAATTTTCTTTTTATAGTATCTAATCTAAATGTCTCCGCCCATTTCCATGTAATAGAGAAACCGTAGTCTGGTCGGGGGGAAATGTTCCGGCATTTTTACGTGCGGTAGTTGTTAAAAATTGGCCTGTATTTTTTGATATGTTAAATTATTCATTATAAAAGCACAATGCTTTAATTAGAAATACTTCGTTATACACAATAAAAACAAACAGAATATCGTATGCTAATATTTAGTCGGAAAACTAAGGGTGTAAAAAGGATCACACTACTATACTTAATTAAGTAGAATACTCCTTTCTGCCCATCGCATTTCTTTTTATCATTGTGAACTCGGAGACTAATCTTTTCTTTTTACCCGAATTATACAAAAATATAGCCTTCATACGGTCATATGTATCGAGGTCTTGCAATATTATCGACATTGTAATTTTTTCAGAGTCAATTGCAAGAGGTTAACATTTTGGTTTTTATTTTTAGAAACATTATATTTAAATTTAATAGGGCAAAATGTATGAATAAAATGAAAAGATAAACAATAATCATGCTCAAAGTCCTATTAATCAATGCAATTGTGAGCAGAGCAACAGAGGTGGAATCGGATGACATAGAGAAGTAAGCATCCCCTGTCAAGACCGCCGTGTGCTCTTTATCATGTTCGGGTAAACGGAAATAATTACCTTACAATTTGTGTGGAGGACGTTCGTCAACATTTGACTTAACGATAGTTTGTATTTGCAAACAAGGTCATTGTATCGAACATAGAATTTGTGAAATGTTGACTTTTAGCAAGATTCTTGATATCCCTGTATCATCTATTTTTTTTGTATATAGCCTGCCTCTTTTTAGAAATTGATCGTATATAGAACTTATTATTGTGTTTCGAATCAACTGGGAAACATAACCCTATATGCATGTGATAATCGTATATTGCTACAAATACAAAGGAAATTAATGCTTTTTTTTTTATTATTTTGACATCAAGGTCATTTTCGAGTAAAATATCTAAATATGAAACAGATGAGTCAGATCTGTGGTGTCTAATATTTATTTAAGAATATCACTATGTACTTAAAAAAAGAAACAAAATCGTTATCATTATTTCAATACTTTTCTTTCTAGAAAAAGAAAATATCCACAGTTTTGTTTTAACATTAGAATAGACCAGCCCGATCCATTCTTTCAACCTGGCAAAACCTGTATGCACTTTGTTCGACATTTAGGCGCACCACCATTAAGATGTGAAAGCGGTAGCTATGATTTTTCGTCGATTATACTATAATGATTTTTTGATTAATGAAGATAAGAAGATGTATTCATTTCATTTTTAATAGTTAAGTTTTCATTTATGTCTTTACTAAACCGATTTCTTCTTTTCTGTTAAAAAATACGCATTACTGTCATTCCAGTAACAGCGTGTCACTGCTTAATCAACCGTGGTAAAATTTCGCAATTTGATTACCATATTACACATCGATTGATGTTTGATTTCAATGAAATCAATACTGCTTGACATGTGAAACACAGAACCAGACAATGCTCTGATAATACTGGCCAATCACATTGAATGATTGCTTACTAGTGAGGCATCTGTAGTCAGCAGCAACACGTGGTCAGTTAAAGCCCGCTTTCTGTCCTCAAAGCATGTGTCATATTTGTTGTGATTTGACCGGATGGAGTTTATACGTATAAGAAAATTTAAAGCATGGAAATAGGAAGGCTTCTCTGCTATTCTAATACTATATAACTATCAATATCATCATTATAGGAGGTAAAAGTTGCTTTGCTTGTCCATATGTAAGTTATTTACTGCATACTCGTGAACAATCATTCAATACGATTGGTCAGTATTGTCAGTGGTATCGCTAGGTTTAATATGCAAAGTTGCATTGGTTTCATTGAAATGAAACACTCAATAGAAGAGTAGTATGGTAATCAACATGTGAAACATTAGTACACTCGATCAAGCAAAGTAACACACTGCTTTTGAAATGATAGTAATTTAAAAATTTTAAAACTGTCTTGTGTTAAAACTACACACAAAAATTTTCGTATAGTCTGTAAGTAATTTGTGTAATTTTCCAGGTGTCCGCGAGCAGCTGAACGAGAGAACAGCCTTTGTAGATGGCTCTATGATATATGGATCTACCTTTGATCTTGAGAAGAAATTAAGAGGTGGAATGCGTAGGAAATTCTTTTTTTCGTTAAGTAAAACGAACTACTGTACCGTGCATTAGAAGTTAAGAGTTTATATGGTTGAAGTGTTAATATTTCAGATTCATTTGGTGGGAGACTTGCAGAAAACTACGAAAATCTTCTTCCATGTAACGAGAAAGGATGTCCTCGAGGAATAATAACAAAATACCATTGTTTCATGGCTGGTATATTATTATTTTATTCAGCTCTGATAAAACTAGTATTCAAGTCATAAGTTTCACTCGTAACTATGGTCATTCATGCTTGTGCGTCACCATGCCTTATCCATCAGCCTCATATAATTAGGGCATTTTTAACTTGTCGTTTCTGCGTGAAACAGCTCAACATTTTTTATTCAAATCAATATATACAGCAATTAAGCATATGTAGTTTAATATTCATAAATCTGTTTCAATATTGTAGAAACTAAAAAAAATTAAGATTTATACTATTACCTGAAAATGCATACTCAATGTTATTTTTTTTTTCGAATTCTTTATAACAGGAGATCACAGGCCAAGCGAAACACCAACCCTAACTGTTCCCCATATAACGTGGTTAAGACGTCATAATCTCATTGCCGACGCATTGAGACGAGCCACAGGCATCAGAAATGATGAAATTCTCTTCCAGGAGGCAAGAAGAATCGTAATCGCACAGCTTCAACATGTTACTTACAACGAATTTTTGCCTGCTTTACTTGACGATTTCACAATGAATTATTTTAATCTTCAGTCTCGATCGTCAGGACACAGCGATGTGTATAATGATAGGCTTGATCCAAGAACTATAAATGCTTTTGGTGTTGCCGCCTATCGTATGGGTCATAGTTTAGTCAGAAATATTGTAGGTCACGACAGAGGATTCGGGAAGATCCAAGTATTCAATGTGAGTGATTTTTTTGAGGTTCCTGACTTGATGTTTAAAAACGGATACGAGTTTATGGCTCGCTGGATGTCAAGGGCCCCAAAATCCAGGTCTGACAGATTCTTAGTTAATGGAATCAGGAATGAATTATTTAAATCCCCAATAGAAGGAGAGGATTCAGAAACAATGTCCTTGGATTTAGGAGCTTTGAACATCCAGAGAGGTCGAGATCACGGCATACCTCCCTACAACGCTTACAGAGAATTCTGTGGACTTCGAAGAGCGCGTTTCTTTGCCACTGTCCCAGGGGGGCTGGTAGATCATACTCCACAGGCAGCAGCTGCACTTCAGCGAACCTATCGGTAGGCATCTTTTTAACAAGTGGATATACAGTGCCCGGTATCATTCATGTCATATAAACTATTCACATTTCTTAATCCAAATTATGATTTTAATTCTAATAACTGAATTAATCTAAATGATTCTAGATGAAACAATAATGCGGTTTTAATGTCCAATATAATTTAAATTATGTCTTTAATTAGACATCCAGACGATATTGATCTTTATGCTGGAGGTTTGTCTGAAACACCTCGTAAGGGAAGCATCTTGGGACCCACTTTCCAATGTCTTATAGGCTACCAGTTCGGTCTCTACAAACACGGTGACCGTTTCTGGTACGAGCGCACTTTCCCGGAAAACGCGGTGGCTGCTTTTACACAAGGTAGGTATATGAGTGTGTTTTAGAAAACTTGCAAAATAAATAAATAAATAAATAAATTTTAAAAAAATCTTTAGAAATCTTACAATAGAAAATTTAAGAAAATACGCAACATATTGATCGAACATATTATCTTAATTTTTAAAAAAAAATAAATCATTGTAGAATAAAATATGGATACATAAAAATAAATATATGCTCAAAATTGTTTCACATTTACCTTGCATGATAACAGTTTTAAGAAATCATTTACTGTTTAACTATTTAAATAATCCTGTCCTCATAATGCTAAATTATAAATAATTTGGTCCTTTGCATAATATATTATTATTTGATTTTTTAATTAAGAGGAATTAGTACAGATAAAAAGGACAACATACTCCAAGGTCATGTGTTCAGTTTTGAAGAATATTGGAGGCCACTTCCATTCCTTCCAACCAAGGCTGTTATTACGCCCTGAAATAGAACGGTATCTATCTATCTATCTATCTATCTATCTATCTATCTATCTATCTATCTATCTATCTATCTATCTATCTATCTATCTATCTATCTATCTATCTTAAGAACATATTCTCTCTCTCTCTCTCTCTGTCTTTTTTTTTAGACTTGTACTCGACACGTACGGCCTTCGAGCTATGAGAGATCTTTTCGTATAAGCAACTACTGCGACACGGGACCTCGGTCTATACGGTTTCATCTGAAGGACCGGTCTCTGCGTTATACAGTGGGTTCGAACCCGCTACGGAAAGTTCCCTCTTTACCCTGTGACTCTACAGCAAACGCTCTAACCACTGCGCCACGCGGGCAACCCACACAAATGTATACGTAAATGAACAGAAACTTGAATTCTAAACTTGAACTTTTTGCAAAAATAGAGTATGCAATTCCCAATTTCCTTAGATTTTTTTCATGACAACATTGACCATTTTGAATCTTGCGTGCAGTTATATTTGATAATTATCCATTACTGCCTATGAAGTTTCATTAAGATTGTCCTAATTGCCTGTGGGCAAAATTAAGGGGACCTATAACAAAATGTCACCTGTTTTCGATTTGAATTAACGCCACTTAACGCTTTAAACAATACAATTTGTGAACAGGAAAAAAAACCGGATCTGGAAACACAAGAGGGGAAATCGGGTGCCTATAGGGAGTAAGCATCAGTTGTCGATCAGTCAAACCCGCCATGAGCCATATATATAGACAGGTGAATGGAGTGATCTGCAGTCAAAATAGTTTAAAAACAATGCCCTGGAACAATTGGTATGAAACATGTCAGTCAAACTATATTCAGTTGTGTGAGTTGTTCAAGACCGGTACTCTAGATAAGACCGCAGAAACCGAGGTCCCGTGTCGAAGTAATTGTTGGCATGAAAAAGATTCCTCAAAGTTTCAGACACAGGTCTAAATTTGCTGCTCCCCATCGAGAGGTGGATAATATGAGTGAAGAACAAGCAAACAAACCAACAGTATTGTATTTCCAAATGAAGTCATTATATCAACCATTGAGTTTGCGGAATGCTTAATTTAAAGATTGTTCAAAGCCCTATAATATCAACTTATTTGTCAATTAGCCTGCCACGATTTAAAAAGTGAGCGATGAGATATAAAGACCATATCCAGATGGTATGGGAATGTTAATATATAAATAAGGGAAGTTGACGATATAAAAGATAAAGACGTCCGTTTATCATATACTTTAAGTTTTTAGTTGGCCATTAACGTATAGAGTCAGTAAAACATCCAAATATGAAACAAATGTGGTAGAATCTATGGTACCTTTCATTTCGAGTTCACTTGGAAATACCAAGTCGACATACGAATGAAAATAAGTATAGTTAATAAAACGTTGTCGATATATCTAAGTGTCGAACTGAAGACCACAGCAAGGGGTTTCTTCTCGTGTAGTTTTTGAATCAATTCTGCTTCATAGGGAAAGAAAAATAGGTCAGCCAATAAAGGGCCAAAATCAGTGCTTACAGGAATTCCAACAGCTTATTGGGTTAATTTATGCAAATCTCTAATTTATAAACTACTTTCCAATCCTCATGACAAATAAATCACATTTTAGAAAGAAACAAATTAATAGATAATCGATGAATGAAGTTTTTTAAAGTAATACTTGTGTTGAAATATCGATGCATTTCAAAATGTAAAAAAAAAAGATCTGAATTTTAATTCTTTTTTTCCCAAAGAAATCAACTACAGTCATGCAACAGAATTTTACGAGGAAATCGGCTAGGGTTCGACATTACACCATTTGCACGGCGACTTTTACGTTTAAGGGGCCGACGACGCGCAGCTTTAGGAGTTTCTTTTCCACGGAATCCAGGCACAAGATTTCTTCGATTGGTTAAACCACGATCTGTCTTCTATTCCCCAATCAATCCCGGAAGGGTTTTTCCAATTCGGAGAAGAATATCATTCCATCGACCCAAGAGAACTATATAAATATATTGTATAAAAGGCAGTTCCCTTGATTGGTCCTATTGTGGTTCTTTGCACTGACTTTTGTGATTGACATTGAAGACAAGTAACACCTAAAATGTCCATCCATTAATATTGAATATATCAACATTAATCAATAGGATCGATGTTATGTGAATAACATCAGGTTATTTTATTCTGTGACATATTTTCCAAATAAAAAAAAAATAATATCGTGTTCTTATCATGAAAGCATTTCGTCTCTAAATACTGATTTCAATAGTAGTGACGTATTTGGATTATTCTTTGAAAAAATGTCAGAGTTGGGATGAGATACTGAATATAAAAAAAAAATCTGTAGAATATGGCAAGTTTCATACATTATTATATGGGTTATTATATAGATATCTTTACATTTATATGAGAAATATTTGATAGAAGTGTTTAATGTTTTATTTTGGATGATAACCAACCTAGGAGCACATAGTAATTCATGCATAGGAGAATACTCTTTAAATAGCTTTTTTTCAAACAATATGGAGAATGAATAAATTACTTAGAGAATAAAAAAAAACCTGTAAAGCAATTTATAACACTGAATTAGAAATGCTACAGATCTACAGAAACATTTATTGAATTAATAGTCATCAAAATGTAAATTATATTACCATACTGAAAACAAAAAGGTCTCAAGAAAGTGACTAAGATATCCACCCTAGCAATCTATTTTTATTCTTTGTGAAGGTATACCTTTTCTTTTTTTCACGCGTTCAGTTCTTAATTTCATTTGACATTGATATTCACAAATTTCACTTTCTATATAAATTATATTATATGATTACAGTTGCTGCAACGTTATTGTTGACAACTTACACGAACGATCACGTTACACGAACGATTCCGCAGGATTAACGCGCGATTAAACCTTTACACGAACAATCCTTAACGCACACGATTCTACACGCTACACGATCTTTCAGGATTGCTAAGGCAAATGCACGATTCTTCACGCAAAATAGTTAAAATATTTAGAAGTGGATATTTTCAAAACGAAATAAGGCTTAATAGTTAATTTAAATTCCAAATATTTATTGATACTATTTATCGACTTTGGAAAACTGAAAAAAAATCTGAAATGGATATTTTTGAAACTAAATAAGACTTAATAGTTATAATACATTTTAGATTACAAATATATATTTAAGTAATTTTCCGACTTAGAAAAATTGATTTTATCCTTTTCGATCGATAGGTAAAGATGTAATTTATGATCGATTGCTGCATGTTCTATCAGATGATATAGGTGTGCCGTAAGTTTTGATTCTATTGGATTTTATGATATGCAGTAAGGGGATGAGAATAAAAAATGGCATATGAATGAATTAAAACTACATCCATCTTTCCTTTTTGTGAATTTCTAAAATTAAAAATTTATGATCGATTGCTGCATGTTCTATCAGATGATATAGGTGTGCCGTAAGTTTTGATTCTATTGGATTTTATGATATGCAGTAAGGGGATGAGATTTAAAAAAATGGCATATGAATGAATTAAAACTACATCCATCTTTCCTTTTTGTGAATTTCTAAAATTAAAAATTATTATACAAATCTTTCAAATGCAGAAATTATAAAAATTAAGTAAGTTTCATAGATAAACACTGATAAAGGTAACCCCGACATTCATGTCGTGTACAATCGCAGACTAAATATTTATGTTACTAAAGATTGGAAATTATTTATTTATTTATTCATTTTTTTTGCAAAATATACATTTTTGATATAAAAATAATATCTTGACCACTATTAGAAGTACATGTTAATATAATTAACGTCAGAGAAAAAAAAATGTTAACATCTTAAATACGGTTTACCATTAAAGGTCACGCTATTTAATTGAAGAGAATACAATATTGTACGACTCACTATATTGCTTATTTACTAGCGATCGTTCAATTATGTAAATCGCACTTCATTTATTTTATTTGGATTTAAATAAAAACAGACCAGCGAAATGCTTGTTTAACAAATACATGTAACATTCCGATAAAAACTTACAAAATGAAACTTGCATTTTCACGCACGATTAAAACCGCAAATATATATATATATATATATATATATATATATATATATATATATATATATATATATATATATATATAGATGTTATATAGATAACATAGGATATATAAAGATGTTATATAGATAACAGTGGATATAGTTAGATGTTATATAGATAACATAGGATATATATATATATATATATATAGATGTTATATAGATAGCATAGGATATATATAGATGTCATATAGGTAGCATAGGATATATATAGATGTTATATAGATAACATAGGAGATATCTAGATATTATTCAGGTAACAGATATCTATCTATCTATCTATCTATCTATCTATATATAAATATATATATAAATATATATATATATATATATATATATATATATATATATATATATATATATATATATATAAAACTTATTTTGATAATAGATAGATTTTATATAGATAACTTATTTTGTTTTAGAAGAAAAAGAGAGACCTATAATTAAAACACCATGGATTTTATGTCAAAGTGTTGTAAAGCTTATAAATGGAGTATTACAGTATACATTTTTATACAAAGTTTGCCTAGTAAAAAAGCAATGCGACTTGAAATATCTGTTCATTTAATGAATGATGTAAATAAGCTTATAAATTAAAGCTTTTTATTGGCATAATCAGAAATGACTACTATTGCCAATGACAGATTGTGATTGTTTTAAAATATTTCTCACTAATTCAAAGAGCCTTTCCTCTTAGCCTTGTTAATTGTTAGCACCAAGAGAGGCGGGACTTGACTCCAGTATATCACCTAATCTGGAAGCATTGACTGATTTATGACAGTGATTTGTCAAAATTATCCAGAGCTTCGATATTGATTTATGTGTACATTCTTGGAACTGACAAAGATTTATATCTAAAAAATTCAGCTGCTCTTTTGAAAGTAAATGTCAAATTGCAATACCGATTGTATTTGCAGTAGATTTGTGAAATAAATAAATCAGAGCTTAAATATTGATTGATTTGCACATTTTTGGAAATTTAACTTTGATAACTTAAAATTTTATCTGCTGTTTGAACAGTAAATTTCGTACCTGCAGTAGACAATATACTTCTTAGGAATTTTACAAAATATGTTCGGCTCAATTCAAGTCAGCGTAAAAAATTAAATTAAAATAATAATAATTCTGGCTACTCCATTAGACAAGATATGGATAATCTATTACACGATACTCCTACAACAAATGAATAAATAGACCAAATGGTTATTGCACTTACTAGTTTAATGAATAACTCCACAATCTCTCTCTCTCTCTCTCTTCATTTACAATAAAAATTGTCAACGTTTTGGGTCGCCCTATCCTTTTGTCAAGAAAGAAGAGATTAGAAAGTCATAAAAACAAAGGGAATGGAATAAGGAAAACAACTAACACTACAACTAAACCACTTAACTCTACATCAATATATAATTCACATATTAAATTTGAATGTTAGAAGCTAATTGATATGAAAAATTATATTCCTATAAAATACGTCCGGTAAGTCTGACAAACTCTGGTTTTGGTTTCGTGTATCATTTTTTATACTTTTTAAATATTTTTTAAAAAATATATGTAGGGCTTATAGTTGGTACTTTTCAGCTGATTTACTTCAGTCGTTCGTATAGTCTTTCGACTTTACGCATGATTTTTAATCCATTCTTACTTTGATTCCCTTACCATTAAAATTCCTTCCTAATTGTTTAATCTTATAGTTACATATATGTATTTTTCTCTTCAACATGTCAATTAAACAGAATATCACATTCAAACTACTGAAGAAACCACAACAAAAATCCATAAAAACAAACCACTAGATTTTAACAACATACCTAAAGGCTTTCTAGTAAACGTCACACCTAACTAGGGCCAATTTCCAAAGGCTTTCAGGAACACTGAGTATATATTATAAAAAGGTGCTCCAAACAACTCATGTCACTGTCTTTCTTGGAGTAGCCACATGTTAGGACAGTATGAGAGCGACTTTGCGTCCCTGGAGTCCTTCCTCAGAAAAAGAAATATCTCCGAGACAATGTTCCACGAAGAACATACGGTAAAATGCCCAAGTCAAAATATCTCGTAAACCCCTCACCATACGCTTCAAACGCAAGAAGGTCATTACGGGGGACGGGCAGTTACATGTGCCTGACATTTGAACAGTGATCAACAAATCAAGTATTCCTCTTTCCGAATCAGAGACTTCACTGCTTTCTAAGAACCTGAATTTCTGTCCCACTGCACTTGAGGTCGACGAAAATCAAGTCAATGAGGACACCTGCGCATTCTTCCGGAGACTACGGGTTAAGGAGCACTTCTCTAGGATAAAAAATCCGGCTCCAATGATGATTCATTCGACTTTTTACCAGAGACAATTGCAAGACATAGAGAAATGCAAACTCTATATCTCCCCCCCCCCCCAAAAAAAAAAAGAATCAGAGTCAAGTCTCAGTCGAATGTTTTATAACTGGATTCTGGTCCTAATGAAGAGTTCTCAGCAACAATCACCAAAACTATAGACGAAATATTTAGAAATAACGAGAATGGTGTCAACGTCCATGATATACCCGAAGATACACGAAGAAGGTATGCCAGGTCGCCCAATAGTTAGTCCAGTTGGACACCCCACGGAGAAAATTTCTGAATATATTGATTTACATCTGCGCATGTAGAGAACTTGCCATCCTATCTTAAGGACACCACAGACTAAATAACAAGACGCCCTCCACTGACCTTCCAGACCACACCCTCCTCGTTACTATGGACGTTACATCACTGTTCACTAAAATTCCACACGATGAGGATATTGAGGCCTATAGAAAAGTCTGGGACAGTAGATGTATACAGTTGCATTCTTCCAACGGCAAGCCCTTAAACATGTTCTAATGTGTAACAATTACATGTTTTATGGAGAACATTAAACATACAACTCAACGGCACAGCTTTGAACACTCAAATGGCCCTATCCTGTGCCAATATCTTCATGGGCAGACATGAACGCAGCTTGCTTGTTACTTCAGTCACCGTTTAGGCCCCTAGCTGGTTGCATTTCATTGACGATACAGAGAAGAAGTGGATGGAATGCCGCGACAGACTCGAGG